AAAATTGTTGCCATAAAACTGAAAAAGGGCTGTGATTGACACATCGTTGAAAAACACAGAATTAGACAAACAAAACTAAGATAATTAGAATATAAAAGAAGCAAAATTTCTCTTTAAATTCGGCAGGATACAGCTTTGCAGCCTAAAAAAAAAAAATTACCCTTCACATAAAGAATCAATGTTATGGCCGGGCGCGGTGGCTCAAGCCTGTAATCCCAGCACTTTGGGAGGCCGAGGCGGGTGGATCACGAGGTCAAGAGATCGAGACCATCCTGGTCAACATGGTGAAACCCCGTCTCTACTAAAAATACAAAAAAAAAAATTAGCTGGGCATGGTGGTGCGTGCCTGTAATCCCAGCCACTCAGGAGGCTGAGGCAGAATTGCCTGAACCCAGGAGGCGGAGGTTGCGGTGAGCCGAGATCGCGCCATTGCACTCCAGCCTGGGTAACGAGCGAAACTCCGTCTCAAAAAAAAAAAAAAAAAAAAAAGAATCAATGTTATTTGTTCACACTAATATTTTCCATCTCTTACTTGAAGTTGCAAACTAACCTTCACAGGAATATTTATGCCTTATTATGGAGCATCTATTACACAGCAAACACTGTCATGTTTGTTTGCTACTTTATATATGAAAACATCCTCATGACTTATAAGGGTTCCCTAGTAGTTACCTGAACAGATTGGCCCAATCAATAAATTTACTTAAGTTCATCATTAAAAAAATAAATTTTAAAAATAGGTTTATATAGCATTCTCCAATTAAAACAACAAAATGGAATATTTCAAATAAATAATTTAGCACACTATCAATACAAGGCACAGTATATATACAATTGCATTCAGCATTTTTGAGGATCTTTTCCTAGAAAATTAGACACCTTATTAAAATGATTTAATACTGCTCTTTTCTTCTGAAAATAGTTACAAACTTATACTCACACAATCTATAATTTCCTTACACCTAACGTTTATCTTTAGACTAATGTGTGTATTTAACTATATGTAAATCAAAACTAAAGATCTATGAGTGTTTGCAGGCAGAGAGTCCACATGTTCGAAGAAAAATACAAACAAAAATTTTAAAGTATTTATTCAGGACTCGGAAATATGTAAATTTTATTTATGCTTGTATATAATATTTATTATGACCATAAAATGACCCTGCAGTCAATAACAATTTAATTGCACATTTTAAAATAACTAAAATTGTAGAATCAAATTGTAATACAAAGAATAAATTCTAGAGGTGATGGTTACGTTTACCCTGATGTAATTATTATATATTGTATGCCTGTTTCAGAATATGCCATATATAACGTGAATCCATACACATATAAATGACCCACAAAATGTAAGAAAATTTTAATGGCAATTTGACCTACAAGAACAGTATTCTTTAACATTTTGCAGTTTAAAGCCACTGGCAAAAGACATTACTAAAGATGTTAGTCCATTATATTACCAAATAATGTATTGTTACCACCTGGAAAAATGTTCTCTCCACATGAAGAATTAATGTTTTTCTTTACCACTGATATTTTCCATCTCTGACTTGAAATCACAGACTAACTCCAGCAGGAATATTTATAGCTTATTGTGGAACTTCTGTTACACAGCAAGCACTGTCATATTTGTTGGCTACATTTATATACGTAAACATTCTCATGACTTATGAAACCTCCCTGAACAAATTGGTAAATTTACTTCTGTCAATTATAAAAAGCGAAAGGAACAATAATTAAAGAAAAGTAGGCTTATATAGGGTTTTCCAATTAAAAGAACAAAATGTTCTAATTCAATAAAATATAACTTAATAAATTAATTGTGGAATTACATCTATAAATTATTTTGGGTGCACTACTAAATTTTATAAAAACCATTCATACAATCCTTGACCAGCTCGCAAAATGAAAACCTTAGAAAACTATGAAAGAAAAAAAGTATAAGAAACAAGAAAATTATGGATCTAGCATGAGTACTAGACAAGACAGCAAATTTGCATGAGAAGATTGATTAGCCGTAAGATTTTACAGTAAGAAATTCAATATAAAGCAGAGGGCAGGCTGGGCGCGGTGGCTCAAGCCTGTAATCCCAGCACTTTGGGAGGCCGAGGCGGGTGGATCACGAGGTCAAGAGATCGAGACCATCCTGGTCAACATGGTGAAACCCCGTCTCTACTAAAAATACAAAAAATTAGCTGGGCATGGTGGCGCGCGCCCATAGTCCTAGCTACTCAGGAGGCTGAGGCAGGAGAATTGCCTGAACCCGGGAGGCGGAGGTTGCGGTGAGCCGAGATCGCGCCATTGCACTCCAGCCTGGGTAACGAGCGAAACTCCGTCTCAAAAAAAAAAAAAAAAGAAAAAGAAAATATGGTATCTCTGCCTGCAAACTCATACAGACTTTAGTTTTGATTTACATAGAGTTAAATGCACACATACATTATTCTAAAGATAAACCTTAAGTTTAAGAAAATTATGGAGTAAGTCAGCATGTTTGTATAAATTTGTACCTTTTTTTCAGAAGAAAAAATTATTGGAACAAAATGAATTATTTAAATTTAATAATCATTGTGTTACCAAATAGCATATTGTTACCATCTTTTACCTGTATTCTTGAGTAAGGTTGGCTAGGTTAAAACTAACTAGAAAACTAAAAACCTCAAAATGCTAAAAGCAAATCTATGCCCTCTGCTTTTTTTTTTTTTTTTTTTTTTTTTTTTTTTTTTTTTTTTTTTTTTT